ACAGATGGGAGGTGTTATAGCTGTGACAAAGTTTATCTGGGTGTGGTGTCAACTTCCAGTCTCCTCTCCCTTGATAAGAGTTAATTTTCCCTGGTTAATGAAACTCCCTGGGAGATCTAGTTTTTTTTTTAGGCAGATATGAGGAGTTCAGAGAAAGCCTCTCCCTGCATTTATGGTTGTTCTAGTGCCTGCAGCTCAAAATAATCATCATATTAAAGCAGCATATTTGCAGGGGTCGGGAGGGACGTTTATTTTGCTACTCATCTCTGTCTACACTTTTTTCCTAGGAGACTTCATATATAATGGCTTTATATAATCTCTATATGGTGATTGAACTTAATTTTATATCATGAATCCTGATCTCTTCCTGAACTCCAACTCAAACATCCTACAAATGATATGTGGTGGGTGAAGAATATAACTACTAGAATAGTTTGGCACCACTGCCTTGATTTGTGGCTGAGGTTATAATAGTTTTACCCCACCATTGCTTTTCAATTATTAACACGAATGTCAACGAAGAGGAAAAGGCAAATAACATTTTAGTATTCTTATGAAAATAGTTTGACTTTGCTGACCCCTTAAAATGTCTGGGGACCCTCACCCAACAGGTCTGTGGACCACAGTTTGAGAACCATTACTCTACGTGATAATTACCTTGCCACGTTGAAGGTCTTATCTCCTCTCACTCCCTGCCTTGCTCACAGTTCCACCCACTTAAGGACATTTTTCTCAGCTGTTCTATCTGCTTTTAACTCCCAGCCACTTGGTGTCTTTATTGTTATCAGATTTCAGCTCCAATGGCACCTCCTAGAGCAGTGATGGCGAACCTATGACACGGGTGTCAGAGGTGACACGGGAACTCATTTTTTTGGTTGATTTTTCTTTGTTAAATGGCATTTAAATATATAAAATAAATATCAAAAATATAAGTCTTTGTTTTACTATGGTTGCAAATATCAAAAAATTTCTATATGTGACACGGCACCAGAGTTAAGTTAGGGTTTTTCAAAATGCTGACACGCCGAGCTCAAAAGGTTCGCCATCACTGTCCTAGAGGCATTTCTTGTGATCATCCAGTTTAAAGAACACCTCTTTCCCCCAGTCATTCTCTGTTAGATTGCCCTGCTTTATTTTCTTTATAAAAGTTACCATCATTTGATATTACACTGTTAATTAATTAATTAATTAGCTTGCCCCATTAGAATTTAAGTTCTATGATATCAAGGAATTGTTTTGTCTTACTCATTTCTGTATCTCTATCTCCTAGAAAATAGCAGTAAAAATTCAATAAACATTTATTGAATAAATGGATTTTTTAAAGGACCATGAGGAATTAAAAGAAAAAGTAGATGAGTGGCAGTAATTTAAAAAGTACAAAGACTTATAAGGTGGTTTATTATAGTTTTCCATATTAATCTCCCAATAACCATTAATGTCTCCTGACAATTATTTCCCATTTTTCTCATAATATAACCAGACTTTAATATTCTCTCCACACCAATAGAGAATGTGTACTCTTTTATTTCTTTTTCTTTTTTTTTAAATATATTTTTATTGATTTCAGAGAGGAAGGGAGAGGGAGAGAAACATCAATGATGAGAGAGAATCATTGATGGGCCTCTTGCAT